TCTTTGAGGGTGCAAATTGAGATTCGAACAATCTTTCGAGGTGTAAAATGAGATTAACCCTATATAAAATTAGGGGTAACTTGTGTTTGAAGGTACGGTGTAACATAAATGAGAAGTAATGTATTTTTTGGGGGATAGAGGAAAGAATTCAATGTGAATGATTTGAAGAGAGATGTTGGTGACCGTTGAATGAATTTATTTAAGACCGTCAGATGAACTTGTTGAAGTCTGTCATGTTTTATATTATAGATAGTTTGATCCCTTACATTTAGTGCTGAAGTTCCAAATGAGATGGGATAAATAAAATATTCTAGTTTGGTAAAAAAATGGAGAGAAAATGGGAGGGATGTCAAATTTATTTTCAAAAATAACAAAGCATAAAATGATAAAATTTAATCTCCATTCCAAACACATCTTTCTCCATTGCATTTCTTAGTTAGGTAACTATGGGCAACAGTACCATATATTTACAAATCTTGAATTGTGCTCTGTGGACTTAAAAAATCATATAATTTTGCATGCCTTTCTAGTTCAAATTCGAACATACCTTTTCTCTAGTCTTCTGGTCCAAAATAGGGGCGGGTGGGGGTTGAATGAACAAAAGAATGAGGGACAATTATACAAGCATTTTGAACCTTCGAAATTAGAAGGTTTCTTTAAGCTGATCATTATTACTACTTTAAGAGTAATTTCTCCAAGTCATCTTTGCTTATGAATAGAAAAGATTGAATAGAATCTGAAAAGAAGATTTGTGTCTAGTGATTAGTCCATTTACCTTAAACCTCTCTACAAAACCTTCTTCCGGTTGTGGATTAGATTAAAAAGAAAATAAAGCTACTTTGACAAAGTTTATGAATTTATGAAATTTCTGATCAAAGTCATTGTTGTCGTTGCATTAACGGTGAGTTTCGTTATTGGTTAAACCTATTGCGAATTTAAAGACAACAGCGGAATTGTAAATGTTAGAAAACATTTATAAAATGCTTCTTAGGCCTTTTTCATTTATAAATATTTCACTTGGACTTATGAGAAGCACAAGCATTCTATAGTAACATTTGCAAGTTGAAGCAAAGTCAACTATGATTTTTAAAATATGCAAGTAGAAACATCTTGTCTCCAACAGGACGCATGGTCGAGCAAAGTATGGGTGTGTGAGTGGTTAGGAAACAGTCTATACCTAAGTGCAACTTGGATCGAGACTAATCAGTCGTATTGTATTTTTCGATTTTTTTTTTATGCATGATTTTCCATTGAATAAAATTAAAATACCACAATGGATTTGAACCTAAACCAATTGATTATTCCCGATAATACTAGACATAATTGTTGACCCATTGCTTTAATAAGTATGATTTTGATGATCACAAATATTCTAATGCGGATTAATACTTGTAATTAGTGTATCAATGAGTGTAAGGTCAAGTTAAGCATGTGCAAAATTGAGAAATAAAAAAAAGAAAAAAAAAGCCTAAGCAGAATCGTATTTTGGAAGAGGCATTAGAAGACTACTCTAGAAGTCTGGATGACCTATTTGGTATTTTGGTTGAAAAGGAAGATTGAAGGAAAGCAAGTGCATTAGAAAGCATATCCAAAACTGTAGATGTGCAATCGAAAGGCTACTTTGAAATTCTGGAGTCCTCATCCAGAGTTCCGATTGAGAATGATTCAAGAAGGACCAAGAGCTATGGCGAAAGGGTGTTTCAGAAGTTCGATTTCCTTCTATCATGTCTGGACACTGTTCATTCAGAATTATTTAGAAACTCTTAAAAACTCGTTGGAATTACACAATTTGAGGGAACCAAGCCAAGGCCAAAATAATGAGTTTGTCTGGAAGTTCGGATGGCTATCCGAAATTCCAAATGTAGCCATTATGCTTACAACGATCACATTCGAAAGACTATTCGGAAGTTTGAATTGGCTTCTAGACACGACGGATTTGACAGATTAGCTTCCATTCTCATTAAATATACCTCTTCTATTCTCTAGTGCTTTGTGAGATTATTGTATTGAGAGAATATTCTTGAGAAAGAGATCTTATTGTATATTCTTCTTGAAGTATATTATAGAGGAGTTTATTATTTGTTTCAAGAATGAGAAGTTTGTAAGGGTTTCATTGTAACCCATTTGAAGGGGATAAAGTTAGTGCAAGGGAAACTCCAAGGGGAGGAAGAAAAGCGTAGGCCAAGTGGTTTGGGGTCGGATCTTTATAAATAGTGTTTGCATATCTTTCCATATTCTCTTACTTATTGTTTGCATACTTTCTCATTCACTACACAATCATTTCACACACATATACTTTCAATCAAAATAATTTTACAAATAGTAATATTGTTTTAAAAGTTTTTGAAAAGTAAAAACTTAATTCACTCCCCTCTTAGGTTACATTTGGGACAACAAAAATTGCTTCAAAATCTATTTTGAATCCTTGAATACCAAAGTAATTACACAGAAAAGAAAAATAGTTTATTTGAAAATGGTATTCAAGATAGGAAAAGGTCTTGCATAGTTTTGCAACCTAAAATAGTTAAGAACCCTTAGAAATCTGGAACTAACCTACATATCCAAGCCTGGCATGTATAGCAATGAGAATTCCTGAAATTACAAAATAGAAATGAAAAAATTCATCGAAACTTTCTATAATGGGGTTTTGAGACGTTCCAGACATCGAAGCTGAAATCTTCCTTGATTTGCATCACTTATGATGCTCCTGATTTGTCATATGATCTATATTATTTTCTCCAGGAATATATTAGGTATATCAATTGGCTTTTCACCCACATAAATTTCAGTGATATTCATGGGTCTAATTATGGTATCCAAATGTTACTTTTCAATACCATATTTTTATTTTTTGTCAAATAAGATTCCGACACGTATAAATTTTATTTATTATTCAATTAATAATTATAAATCAATCAAAACAAAATCAATGACTAATGATAATCTCAGTATGGTACTCAATGTGATACCTTAGCCTTATCGGGCAAATATTATCGTGGTTGCATATGTCAATTTACAAGTATTTAACATATTTTTTCATATAATAATAAGCACTTATTGGTACACGAATCCCAATAATGTTGCACTGATTAGACCAGGAATTTGTCTACCATATGTTTTGCTTACTGTTCTTTTCTGGGTATATACACGCTAAGAAAAACAATCATTTGGTGTTAGGATATCCTGTATTTAACTAAAATATTAATAACTTATTCCCTGCCCTTGTGATACAATTACAGAACTTATGGCATAATTATTGAGCCCCGAAAGAAATCTTCTGTTGCCTCCAAACGACAGAGCCACGGATTGATTCGATTGTTCTATGAACTAATCGTAAATTCTCATATTAATCCAGATTAAGTCTATTTTTGATTGATAAATTACACTATCACTGTTTGATGTGTAGTTATTGTATCCATAAACAAGAGAATGAAAGCAAGTTGTTGGGTAAGGTTTTTTTTTTTTTTTTCTGTTGTGGTTTAAACTAATATCGGTTTCAATATATCATTTCAATTAATTTCAAAATGCATCAAGATGTGGACTCCCAAACATATCGAATTGATTCAAATGGTGTAGTAAGTCTGGGGGAGAGAGAAGGAGTGTTACAGGAAACAAATTACAAGAAAGTAACAATTTGTGAGGGGCTTGAAACAAAGCTTGTAGTTTAGCAGTGTACAAGTTTGGAACCCTATCCAAGGGGTTAGCACGTACCGACTTTTTTTAATAAAGGCTCGTGCTTCTTCAAAATTCTACTTTTTAGTTTCAGTTTGATAAGAATAGGTGTTTGCGGCTCATCAAATCCATAATTTTCTGTTGAGATGTTTGAAATATTTGCTTGTCTAATCCTTCATACAGGAACCCAAAATCTAAGATTTTATTTTAAAAGTGACTGCATAGGTAAATCACCCCATGCAAATTAAGAATGGTGGTGTTTGTTTGTTTTTTTTTTTTTTAACACAATTCAATGCCTTAATTCTTATAGTCTATGCATACTGTAATTCATAGGAGAATTTGTAGAAAGAACGCCGTGGGATGTGGCTTCATTGTAGCCTTGCTTCAAAGTGAAACCCTTGTTAGGGCACTGTGTACTGGTCATACTCAGTTGTGCCATTGGACTTCTATCATCATCATCACCACCACCTTACCTTTCCAATATTTGTTGGCCACTTATATATTTGTTGAGAAACTATAATTTTTTTTTTTTTCTGATTCCCTCAACGACACCACCACACACATGTATGTTGGTTCATTAACACCAATCCTATGCAAATTCGAAAATAACGTAACGGAATCTGCTGAAACATAACCCATAATAAGTTATATTATGCTGAATACGAATAATTGACTTAAATAGTAGAATTATCCAATTAATTTTTTTGATTCCTTAGAATAATAGTATATGAATTGCTATGGAATTATATCTAGGTATTGGTTGCTCTCATAAACACAAACCTCATAAGATGCAAATCCGAAAATGACATAGACTATTAACACAATTAATAAATTAGTTAGATTATTATTAAACATAAATTGTCGGGTACCAAGTAAGGTTTCCTTTTTATTGTTTTACTTTTTAATATTGTATTATATTTATTGTTTTGAAACTAAATAAATTTTCATTAAAGCAAATACAACACCAAACAAAATCACACGACTCCAATATAGCATCCCTTTCTTTATGATACCATATCAATTAGACTGGATTGACAGCCCATGGTTTGCCTCCTCTACTCTCCTACTCTCTCTCTCTCTCTCTCTCTCTTTCTCACACACACACACACACACGTATTTGTATCTGCGAGACTGTGAACTGTAGGTTGGAGAGAGGGAGAGCATTAAAGAAAGGGGCGGTAGAGTCGGATCATGTCGCCCACCATACTCGAATATGTGCCTATGCTGTTGGCCCCATCTCGATTTTGAGTGCTTAAGCTCTTTCTCAATTTGAAACTCTCATATATGAACTCCTATTCTTCTTTCTCTTTCTTTGAAACCTAATACAGATGAGTGAACAGTACGGTCTTACTGATCTTACAGAGCTAATGGCCGGAAGAATCCGTTTTCCGGCCACCCCACCAGCCTCCGAATACTACCGGAATCTGACACCACCACTACCACCACCACCGCAACTGTATGAAACTGTCATGCTGGGTTGTCATAGTGGTGGGTCATCTGAATTTGGACTTCAAACCACTACTGCTTCAGCTTCTGTTACTGTTAGTGGGTCAGGAATGGAGAGTTTCGACGACGGTGGACAAAGTCGATGGCCTCGGCAAGAGACTCTAACGCTTCTGGAAATCAGATCTCGTCTTGATCATCAGTTCAAAGAAGCTAATCACAAAGGACATTTATGGAATGAAGTCTCTAGGTATAAATCAAGCATATGCTTGTGTTTTTTCCCATTTTTTTGCTTTTTTTTTTTTTTCACTTCTATGAATGAAGGAAAAGCTAAGCTAAACTAAGCCCTTTTGTATCTATATCTTTTGTATCTCAGTAACGATATATGCAGATCAGATTACCAAATTTTTTGTAAGTGATTTTAGAAAACCCTAATTTTTGTTTAGTGGTTTATGGTTAACCTGAGTTTTTTACTTTCTTACTAGATTCTTATTTTACTTTCTGAAACTAATAAGATTGAACTAAAGCCTATTTTCGATTGCTGACTTCATAGTGCGGAAAGTAACAATTCATTTTTAGTTAACAGGATCTTTTTCATCCAGTGTCAGTGTCACAACGGATCACCGCCAACGTTGCTTCGCCCGTCTAGGACCAATTGATTTTCCTCTAATTTCCCAGCAAATGGATGATCTTCCTCTGATCATTTGCTGGTGTTGTTCTTACAAACTGGCTATCCTCTTGAAAGGCGCAGTAGCCATACACTGGTTCTTGTAATTGAAGATCTAAAAACTTTTTCTTGGTCGAATTTATGGGAATGGCTGCCAATTAGGGTATAAAACTAGTTCAACATCCCTGACACATCAACAAGAGGAATGTCTTAGGTATTTAATAATAAAGAACATCATGGAATGACAATGAAAAAATTACTTAATTGACATTATAATAAGGAATTCTGATTAGTGGAGTTTTTTTTTTGGGTATTTTAACATTGAAAAAACTTGGTCACGTTCTTATGAAAATTTCCAGACGTTAAACTCGAAAGTAGGGTCTTTGTCCTCTTCTTCCTTAGCTTGATTCAGTTATTTTGTTTGGCTTTTTGCTGCAGAGTAATGAGGGAGGAATTTGGGTACCAGAGAAGTGGGAGAAAATGTAAAGAGAAATTTGAGAACTTGTACAAGTATTATAAGAAGACGAAGGAAGGTAAAGCTGGAAGACAAGATGGAAAGAACTATAGGTTCTTTCGCCAGCTTGAAGCCCTTTATAGAGAAACAAGCAAACAAACTTCAAATTCAGAGACACCCCTTCTCCAACATAATCTTCCTTACAAAATTCCAAATGACTTCATGATTAATGAAGTAAACCAAGAAGCTTGGGAAGACCAGAGGCTCTGTGAGAGCCTTAACCCATCCAACTCCAACCCATTTGAATTTGAAACTTCATCATCAGAAAATAACGGCTGTGATCGTTCGACCGTTGCATATATGATGAACGAGAAGACGAAAGGCAATGAAAATCACAGTTTGGGAACGGTTAGAAAGAGCTGGAAAGCAGAAGTGAAGGACTTAGTGGGCTCACATATGAGGAAACTATCGGAAACACAAGAGGCTTGGATGGAGAAGATGTGGAGGAACATCGAAGAAAAAGAAAAAGAGAGGACAATTAAAGAGGAGGAATGGAGGAGAGAAGAGGCAGCTAGGTTTGATCATGAATATGAATTCTGGGCTAATGACAGAGCTCGGTTTGAAGCCCGAAACATTGCATTAATGGAATCTCTGCAAAAATTGGCCAAGGAAAAAAGGAAATGGCGCTGCCAAAGGAGCTAAAGGCTAAAGTGAATTGGGAATACAAGGTGAATGGAATGCTGGATAGGGTTAACACAAGTAAGCCATGGCTTGAATCCGAGATTGCGAGTTTAGTTCAGTTAAGAACTAGCATGGATCCTAAGTTTCAGGAATTTGGTTATTCAGAAGACAATCTTTAATTTGGGGGAAAATTGCTTCAAAAATGCTTAAAATGGGCTATGATTGGAGTGCAGATAGGTGTAAAGAGACATGGAACAATTTGAGCATTATTTCGGACAAGATGACAAGGAAGAGTAAGAAGAAGTGTGAGGACAATTCACGAAATTTTCAGCATCTTTATTTTTATTTTTGCCAAGAGTTTGTCAAAAAAAAACATGAAACCATAGGACTTCAAATAAATGACTATGGCAGGCCACTTCCAACTCTAACGTGGGCATTGTAATCGATGAAACGTGTTTTCAGATCTTGATGAATGGAAGAGAAAACTTGTTCCAAAACATTGCTGGAAAGTTTAATGAGGGTTAAAACCAGCAAGCACAAGACATTTATAGTTTTCTGAAGCTTTGTATATCTGACTTTATGGCAATGGAATTATTTTTTTCATGGAAAGAAAATAAATTGTATTAACTCTCTGTGAAGGATGTACAGATGCCATGATTAGTTTTCCTTACAATTAGCATTGTAAAAAAAAAACCTTCCTACGTAAAATAACTTTCTATACAAAAAGTGGTGACCAAGATACAATCACCACGAGATGTTATGCATAGTTTTGGTGATGCAACAACTATTAGAGGAAGTTACAGAATTTCATGCCACACATGGGAACAAGTTGCTCCTTCTGCAGGAATGAAGTAGAGACTCATGAACACCTCTTGTTCAACTGCCCATGTACTGCCAGTGTGTGGAACCAGACTATGGATAAATGCAACACAACATTACTTCCAGCTCTTTGGCAGTTGCTCATTTCCGAGGAATGGAAGGTAAATCATTGAAAGTTATTGTGCTCAAGCTGTGTTTGGCAGCAACTGTCTTTGTACTTTGGAAGGAGAGGAACTTTAGAATATTCAGAAACAAATCTAGAGATACAAACTCATTGTTGTGCACAATTAGTAATGTGGTTCGCAAAAGATTATTAACTGTTACAGTTAGGGGTCGCTCTCAAAATGCTAGACTTCTTTACAGTTGGCACCTTCCAGAATCCAGCTCTTTGATCTAAATCTTGCTTTGTGTTCTTGTTGTTGTTAAGCTGCCTCTTCTTTGTAACGTTGGCTTTTTATTGCAAACTCCACTGATGTATTGGTTGGGATATGCTTGCTAAATGTACACTTTTGCACTATTGAATCAATAGATTTTATTTATTTACCCCCAAAAGAAACTATTAGAGGAAGGGCGATAACTGAATTAGTTAATCAACAATATTGAGATGTTTAATTGTTGAAAATACTTTCTTCCATAAACACTAATGTTAACAAAGTCCTGTTCTATGGATTAAAATCATTTCATCCTACTTTGTAGCTAATTGGTGGTTCACGTATGGTATTGATTGTCTAAGATGAATTGTTGTTAGAGTTTTATCAAAAACATCTTTGTCAAAGTAGGTGCAAAGGAAATTGGTGTACATTTTTTCTCATCCATTCTAAAGTACCTAACCATCTTAACTATTAGAAGTTGGAGAGGTTGTTCTATGCGCATTATAACTTGAGGTTGAGATTACACCATCTCATGAAAGATAACGGGAAAATAGACAGACTTCAACCAATTCATTTAGCTCATATTTTTCTATTCAAAAAAAAAAAGCTCATATATTTCAAGAGGATGATTTTCTCGTAGAGTGGTTAGATGATCCAGAAAATGCATTTTTAGATGAATTTGGCAATGGGCAAAGGTGTGATTGCTTTGAATATTGATTAGAGGAAGGAAACAAAGAAACCTCTTGGGAAAGAATCTACCTGATAGAGTGAGAATCACGCAAGTTAGGCGTTCGATCCCATGAGCCAAAGGATGATGAGATGGATCCTGAGACATTGATTCCTACCTCAAAGCCCAGGCCATCGAGGAACGCACCACCACATGTACGTACGCATACTAGAATATCACGTGCACCACCATGTAGGGTCACTCTTGAGTCTTCTTTTGCCTAGTAGATGGTTGTTATGGATTAACTATCGTCAGCACCATCGCTATCGCCACCACTTGTTGCAACCACCCTTTGCCACCCACCATCTCTCCGTTGCCATTATTGCCGCAACCATCATTGCCAAAACCACTATCACCCCCATTGACACTACTACCACCCCACCACCACTATAACCAACATCATCTATCGTCGCCGCCACCACCCACTGCCACCGCCACCCTCCACCAATTCCCCCTTTCACCACTATCCTTCGCCATCATCAGTATCACCACCACTCATCTCAACCACCCTCTGCCACTGGTGGTCACCACTATCACCCACCTACCCACTTGCCACGTATTACCACCAGTGGTATATATATATATATAATTTAGCTATATTTTTTAGATACTAGATGTTGCACACATGTTTTGCATGTAGACCATTTTAGATGTCAAGCTACATATACCCTCCAATGTTCCTAATGCCAACACACTCTATCACAAAAGTATTAATCACTAAGAAATTTGACATAAAATTGCTTGAGGAACAATACTATTGGGATCTAATTTAAATATCTAATTCATTGTCTTAATTAGATTGATAGTGGATCTCAACACAATGAATGAAATCTACTATCAATCTAATGACAATCACTTCAATCATAGGTAGCCGTCCACAACTTAAATCACCTTCAACCTTTAGACTACCCTAATTTTTTTTTAAATAACACTTCTTTTGTAATTCCCCCAAGGTATCCACAAGAAACTGTCATGTAACAAGATTATGCTCTATACAAATTCAAAGATGAGGATTCCATTTCCACCTAGGATGGTTAGAAAAAATTTTATGTGCATAACATTCCCCAAGCGTATAACAAAGGATACAAATTCTTTAAAAACAATTTTTCTAAATCATTAGAATTCAAAACCAAATGACAAACACTATTCCACCATTTTCTAAACTTATACTTCCAAAACAATTCAAGACTTGAAGGGGGAAACTACACTTTCCTTTCAAAAACTACCATCATCACAAAAACTTTGTTGTCTTTAACCAAGACTACTTCAAAATTTTCAAACTTACTTTGAACTTAATCTTTAACGGATGTAATTACAAATTTTTATTTTTCTCAAAAAATGCACTATTGGCTAAACCAATGACAACATCAAATTGACAATCAGTTATGACCAAAAAATTTAAATTTCACGCCTTACATTGTACCAACATTGATACAAGTACTTCCAAAAAAGTTGAATTTAGAACCACCTTCCATTACTTGGTGAAAAAAATCAATATGTTGATACCTTCAACATTCAAGTTGACTCTTTCTAAAAGAAACACCAACTTTTCCCTTTTCCCTCCATTTTCTTCCACGGTTCTCTTCTGATTGTCCAATGGCGGAGATCAATCTAATTGGAGTCTCCTATTAAACAAATTTACAACATTCAAAAATAGTCAAATCCTATAACTCTTTTTCAATAGTAAACTTTGAAGCTATTATTCACACTTTTAGAGTCTATACATGCTTCCTTATGTATGCCCAGTATATAAATTCATGTGTGCAATTGTTTATAGATATATGAAATTAGAGAAAAATGAGGTAGAAATCATAAAGAATACCCCTTCGTAAAGACCATGAGAAGGCATCGACATGATCCTGGACCCATTTGTGATAGCCTGAGTCTTGACGACTCTCTCTATCATGTAATCCACCAAAAGTCTCCCTTAAAACAATAAAAGTATCAAGAATTAACAATTTCAAGTTAGGGTTTTGAGTGGTATATCTATATCCATAGACATTCATACATAATGAGTTATATATAGAACACCTTTGAAAGAAAGATTTGAGATCTTTGACAGTAGAGTCAACTTCTAGTGATGGTAAAGTCACATTTTTTTTTTCGGAAGGTAAAATGATTCTATTGATACAAAAGGACAAGATACAGTAGGGTGAATTCCCTTACAAACAATAGGAATCACCTATTAAGAGCCAAACTATAGAATTCTTGGAGAAGTGAGGATAATTGTCCAGACTTCCAACAAAATGCATTAATGAAGAGAATAGTCCAAACAACTATTGGGGATCTGCCACACTTGAGCAAGTTGCAAGTTATTGTTGGTGGGCTTGAATCTGAGAGAAGAAGCTCTGTCTCTAATGGTTTGGAAAATGAGAGTGAGGAGGGAGGAGTGATCCGTAGACTTGCCTTGGTGAATTCTAATGTTTCTCTCCATCCAAATGTAATAGATAGAAACAACAAGACTGAGCTTTAGGAGGGTAGTGCACATAGAATTACCTTTCCAATGCTAGCTTGCATAGTTGATGATCCCCTGCCATTACATGTTTTGCATTTGCTGCCCACTGAGGAGTAGCAATTGAGCCCATATAGAATGAGAGATGTAGCATTCAAAGAATAAGTGGGCATGTGACTCGGGTGATGAGTTACAAAGAGAGCATTCCAAACTAATATCAACAGAAAAAGAATGGATTCTGTCTTTGGTGCTGAGTTTGGATCTGATGGCAAGCCACAAAATGAAGGACATTCTAGGGATTGATTGGCTATACCAGATAAGGTGTTGCCAAGGGACTTCTGAGGATGGGGATCTAAAGAGATTCCAGGCTGAGGAAGTGGAAAAGCTACCACCTGGGGAGGGAGACCATTTGATTTTGTCCTCTCTAAGTGGAGATGAAAGGTAATTAGGCATGGAGAGGGAGATATCCAAAAGCTGAGGGGAGATGGTGGAAGGCCAGTTCCAACGGTTGCCATCCACAACAGATCTTACCTTAGCATTTAAGGGAATTCCAGAATCTTCCATAACATTAGTGTTACATATGGATTGAAGAGGACCTCGGGGGTGCCAATTGTCAAACCACAAGTGAGTGCTTTCTCCATTCCCAATAATA